ACTGGTAAACTTTTACAAACATTTGATGAAATTTGAAATCAAAAAGGGTATCACACTAGGGTTTCTACCAAGGTCTCCCACCTGTGTATACTTGAACTGCTGCTCCACGTCCTTGATGACAGACTGGCAATCCAGGCAGATGAAGGTGCCGCTGACCAGCTCGGGATGGACGGGGTGGGTGCGGACAACCTGGCCGCTGATGCGCAGCAGGGTGCCCACCTTTCCCGTGGTCAGCTCACGCACCCTAGAAATGGACAAACACAAGGATAAAGACTTACAGTGAGGGTTCTAGCCATCTGTTTTGTATCAGGGCTCCTTGCACTTGCTGCTTCTGGTACAAAAATGAATGGCTCAAAGGCTATATGAAAGTTTCTCTTTGTTGGTACAAGTCATTATGAAGCAAACGTGTAAACACAATAAATAGGAATTTTCAATTGTAGAACTCGAGTCTTTGTCAAGGAATGAGCAATCCACTGCTTCACACATCACATCATCTGCATAATGTGATGTCACGGAGGGGGTAGATCGTTCATTGCTTGACAAAGACTGGAGTTATATAAGTCCATTTTCTTGTGTTTTCTTGTGTTGGAATTTACAATTCAAACTTGTTTCATAACAGAAATGTGCCGTGGATTGCTTCTTCCTTGCCAAAGACTGGAGCTGGACAGTTGAAAATTTGGAAGTGGGACTTTGAAAAGTTGAAAGTCCCAATTTCTTGTGTTGGAAATTACAGTTCAAAGCTGCTTCATAACGGAAGGCTTAGAAATCACTTACTTGTGTCTGGCTGGCACGTCGGTCACACTGAGGTAGAACTCCTTGCTGGTTGGAACTCCGCAGTGGTCACGGGCAAAATTACGCACAGCAAGACACAGGCTGGGATACACCCTGGGAAAAAATCAACATCTTCATTAGCAACAATGATTTGTGTATGTTTTAGCCTCTACCAGGCTTCAGAATTGGCATGTTGTTTCCCTTTTTGGACAACTTCTACTCTTTCCAGTCACTTCTGAAGCCTTGTAGTTGTAGAGGCTATATTTGTATATGTAGTACTTCTTAATGAACTGTCAGATATCTCCTGCTATCATTCTTTTATCACTTCATTCAAAAAACAGTTGAGATTTTTTGTAGAATTTCCCACTAGCAGTTATAGCTACTTGAAAAATAATATACTTCACCTCAATTGCTTTAGCTCTTAGGACGACATAACCTTAAACTTTCTCGTACTTCACAAGAAATATTACTTTGGACTAAACCACTTTTCATAAAGGGGTGTTCTAGCAAAGTAACTGTCCTGTCCCCACCTGTAGTACTCCTCAGAGATAGTAGTGGCCAGCTGCTGGTTGTTCTTCTCGATGTGCTGGTAGCTGACGGTCAGAGTGTTTCGCTCAGGACGGATCAACTCCTGAACATCTGGTAGGTACTTCACCTCACCGTCAACTGTGAACCTGCAAAGGTGAGGGGGGATTATGTTACTGTAAATATGAACTTTTTTGGCACACTACAAATTAGAGTTCTAATACTTGTATATTTATCATGAAAATGATAAAGCAACACAATTCATAGAAATAATGTGGTGGAGAGCTGATCACCAAAAAGACAAACTTACAAATAAATATAGATAAAATTACACAAAGTTGTTTCAAGACTTACAGTACAGTACAGTGGTGCCTTTCAAATTATATTTTTCTACTTGTACTGATTTTTTTCTTCACTTATTTGACAAAAACACTAGAGTACGCAAGAATAAAACTCTTGAAATTTTTTCCAACATTCTGTACCTTAGCTCTCACTGAGAATTTATACCAAACACAAAGACGAAGAAGAAATTTGAAGACCCAAAGTCGATTATAAAATTTCTGTGCTGAAAGGTAATATTACATGCAATCAGAAGTCAGTTTTGTACATATCATCTACACTTCAGTTGTCAAAATATGCTTCAAAGAGTCTATTCTCATTAAATACAAATGGAGATTTCAGCATAAAGTTTTCATCAGAAAACGTGAAATTTATTTGACAACAGCACATGGCACGAGTGTAACAAAGTGGGGCTATGTCGCCATTTTTAAAGTCTTTGTGAACTAAAAATCGAGCCAAGACAAGGAAGATATTCACTTACTCCTCCAAGAAATCTTGGAAAAGCTTCTGGCACCTGTCTGCTACATCGTCTTTGACCAAGTTGTGGCCAACGGCGCGGTCTGCTACGTCCATTTTGGCTCAAAGTCGACAAACTTTTCTGGTAATATTTTTCTCTACTCCGGGCTCCCTCTGTGATCAATGTGCAGGTTTCGCGCCACTGTGGTCACGTGGCCAGTTGGCTGTTCTATCTTTTGAGTATGACCCCCTAAGATTTGACAAAGAAGACTCCAAATTTTAATGAAAAATGTTAATAAAGCAAAGTCTGACATCTTGAGTATGGAAACTCTAATGTTATATAGTCCAAATGTGATTATTATTAGCGTTCGAACACATTTGTTGTATTTTTTTCTTGAACGACGATATCTGAGGGGAGGAAGATTGAATAAGCAACCAGCTAGATTTCGCGGGAATTTTAACCAATCAGCGCCGAGATGTACTGTATAGCCCATTCCACCATTCGATAGTAGAAGGGGTGGATGCTAATATATTTAAAGTCCAATAAAACGATAGTATTTCACTTTATTTTTACAAAAGATGTTGAAAGAATTTTATTTCTGCTTTGATTTGGTAGAAATTTTTAGTTAAAATTGAGAATATTTTGTTTTTCTATTAACCCATGTATTCGGTGGTTGCTAGCCTGTTGGTTTGACCCATTGACGTCCAACAAATGGCATTACATCATTCTTACCAAATATGGTGCACGAGGGAGTGTTCTTTCTGCTATTGTATTCAGTGATGTTCCTCCCAAATAATTTCTCCAAAAGTCTCCTCTTTATCTCATCAGTTGGGATATTATCTGAGAAAATGTATTGTGACAAAATATCAATTTTAACACGAATTTACTACTGCCTAATTTTGGCTCTGTTATGCTTGTTAAAAGGAGAAAATGTGTTTTTAGAGAAAAGTCAATATCGTCACCGATGGTTCTCGAACCATCTGGCCCACCCAGACCAATCTAGATCCTGTGCGCTGATTGGCTAAATCCTCACACGTGATTCACGTTTCCAGAATATTCCATCCTTCCTTTTTATAAAGCCGGCACCTGCGACACCCTCAGTAACGGAAACGGTAGAAAATCATCCACACTTGTCCTCATTTTCCAAGCTTCCAAGAAGCCTTTTACAAATCATTCCTGTATATATCTGCTGTAAATACTATAAGGTAAGCCATAGTTTCTGTTATTAGTATTTTCTACGGCTACTTTTGGTGTAAATTTGGGTTCTTTTGATCGTACTCGAACCGACCGGCGTTTTTACATGCCGCACCACGTGTGCCGGCCAGTTGCCCATGTCTTCAATCCAACAATTTATGTTTCCTCAGTTAATTTTTACCACCATAGCTAAGATTTGATAGCTCAAGTTTTGTTCCAGATCATTCCCTCTTGGTGGTTTAGAAAGAGGAAGTTATGTAGTCAGTCGCCATGAATTTACTATGTTGTCTGACGCCATTTTAAGAATTAAGTGTGTCTAGTAATCTTTCTTTGGATAGTTTAGAACGTCTTTATCATTATTCTTCGTAAAATCAAGGCCATGATTCGCAGTTCTTTTTTTAATGCCTTCAGCCAACAATTTTATCGGATGAGGCACAAAGAAAGCGAACTTGGGGGTATCAAATTCAGAGCTCATTCAAAGTCTGAATGACTCAACCAAAAATGGCGGTTTAGTCCGTTTGTGCCCTGGGCGTTGCTATTATATTGTCCCTCATTTCGTGGGGCACAGCCGTTGAAACTGTAAGCAGAAATACGATGCCGAGTTTTCAGTTTTTCCTTCCACGCTTCCGTTTCGATTTCCCCTGAGAATAAGGGTTTTCCCGTAACCTCCATGCCTTTACCACGTGACGTCAGGACAAATGAATGATCTCTGAAAATCCCCCTATGGAAATTCCCGATTACTCAATGCACGAAAATATCTCTATTAGTCTTTTAGTTAGGATTGTGAAAGTAGTTGAAACTTTGCGTTTTTGCGATCGATTTCTTTGTAGAATTGTTCGGGATTTGGACTCGGGACTTTGTCCCCCTTTTGTTCTACCCCCCACCCCCAATCCAAGCAGAAGTTAAACCTTCGGCTGATTTTAATTTGACGCCTTTTAGGCGTTTTTATCCATTTTGCACTGGTTACATTTTCATAGTACCTGGCCAATTTGATACTGTAAGGCAGCCACCGAAAGATTAGCTTGGAGATAAAATTTTCCCTACACGTTGCAGAATATTACATACAGGAAGCCAGACTGGTCGAGCGGGTCATTGATTATTGGTTTGCATAATTCATACAGAAACCTTTGTGTTCACCAGAGTGGATTATTGTGTTCAGTCCAATTTTTATTGATCGTTTTTTCCGTAGATTGATCTGTTCCCAAGTGGATTGAAAAGAAATGCTTCTTTGTCTAATGGAGCAGGATGAAATTATCTGTTGCACTTAAATAAAATTTATTATAAAGTTATTGTTTTCAATCAAAGAAGTATAGGCTTGATGATATTTATTGTTCCAATTTTCAAAATTATACCATTCTTTTACATGAACACTTCAGAATCTGATTTATTAATTTTTTTTTTCATCTACAGTATATAAAAAAGTAAAGCAATAGGCAGCATACTGTCTGATTAATGAGCACAAGACCTTGAAGTTGTAGATTCTTCCTAATCCATGCGGATTTAATGTCATCATAATGACAACTTGTGGTATTTGGTAAAGACACTGGCATATTTTTTCCAGTCTGCTAAATGTGCCACACGCATGTGACTTGGGTGTGGTTGGACAAGCATGTGAACTGTGAAAAACATGTGTAACACCCAACTGTAACCCACTGAGGAATTTTAACATTTCCTCCCCCGTCCTGTTTTTAGAACACAAAATGGCAAAGAACGGACCTGCAGTGGGAATCGACCTCGGAACGACCTACTCCTGCGTGGGGGTGTTCCAGCACGGAAAGGTTGAGATCATCGCCAACGACCAGGGAAACCGGACCACGCCTAGTTACGTCGCGTTTAACGACAGCGAGAGGCTGATCGGGGATGCCGCAAAAAACCAGGTGGCCATGAACCCCAGCAACACTGTTTTTGGTAAGTCTACAGCCTCCAGAATGCTTCTGTTTTAGGAGTACAACTACAAGATATAGGAATTTTCTTCTTCACAACCAGGATACAAGACACCTTGCTTACATTTCGGTGTCTATCAGACACTTTCCTCACAGCTTCTGAGTTGGTAACAATGTCATGCATCTAGAAATGTTTTCCTAGCATTCAGATCTCCAATTAAAATTTGTCTGCACAATAATGTCTATAACTGCAAAGCATGGCTGTATTTGCTCCCTTGCTCTCTTTGATCAGTATACTTCAATTCTGTATACTAGTATTTCTTTGAACAACAAATACATATTCATTTGTGCAATGTCCTGCAAATTAACGTTAGATTCAACCATCTACCTTCATAGTGGTGCACTTAGATTTGAAGTAGTGTGCCAAAATAAAAGTAAAGGCTTTTCCCATTGTATGAATGGCATGACATTTTACAAAATGGCAGTAAAGATAAGTCTTATCATGCTTTTTTACTGAACTTGTCATGTTTTGTCTCTTCAGATGCCAAGCGTCTGATCGGGCGACGTTTCGATGACCCCTCCGTCCAGTCGGACAAGAAGCACTGGCCGTTCGAGGTGGTCAACGACGGAGGAAAGCCCAAGATCCGTGTTGAGTACAAGGGAGAGACCAAGACCTTCTTCCCTGAAGAAATCTCCTCCATGGTGCTGGTTAAGATGAAGGAGGTTGCAGAGGCTTACCTTGGCAAGGTGGGCAGATTTTTTTTCTTACTTGTTCTTCTTCCGATAATGCCCTTTTTTAAAAAAAATCATTTTCCCGAAACTGGGGTTAGGCATGTTTGCTTCAAATTCAAGTTTGTTTTTTTTTTTTGAGAAAGATTTTTACGGCTGAATGCCCTTCCTAACGCCAACTCAAACCCTAGTAGGGCCCAGGATACCTCTGAGGGTGGAAATATGTGTAAATTCCTATGCTTAATGATAAACACAACTTTACATTTTTGTTTTCCAGAGTGTGACGAACGCCGTGGTCACCGTTCCCGCCTACTTCAACGACTCTCAGCGGCAGGCCACAAAGGATGCTGGGACCATTTCCGGCATGAACGTCCTGCGAATCATCAACGAACCAACCGCTGCCGCCATCGCGTACGGACTGGACAAGAAGGCAAATGTTGTTATCCCACTTTCGTTGTTCTTTATAGATAGTATTGCCTTTATTTACCAGTGCAGATGCCAGCCTCATGTACAAGTGAGACTGGCAACTGGACTACCTGGATGGAAAAGTTGATGGCTGTGGCTGCTGAAACATTCACAGATGTTACACCAGACACTTCCTCACAGAACACAGGGCTTACTTTAACGCTGCAAGTTTCTCATAACTTTGCATTGTGAACTACTAAATCTGTTTCCCGATCTACTGAGAATCTTTCGGTACTAATGCCATGCTGTTTCATGGATTACTGCCCTACTCACGGTTCTGGTTTGCAGCAATGTTTTTTGCTGCAAGTGTTTGCTAAAACTTTGCATTTCTACCATATTTTAAATGCTTGCATTTATTTAAGACTGCTCATGAGTTGATGTTTAAACGTTGCTTTGTTTTGTTTTGCACTATCGGTGGGAGAGTTCTCTTGCTTGGTGCAGCTTCTTTATTATTCAGTTTATGTAGAGATAGTTGCTGGGGCAGTCTTACTTAGATCCAATGAGGTTTAACTTTACTTGCTGAGGCTGTAATTTCTGGCCCTGCATTACCTAAAACTTGACGTTGCTAGTCCTAAAACCAGTTTACTTGCGCACTGGTTGCTAGTCCTACCAGTAACTTGCGTAGTGGACCTTCGTATATGGCCTTCTGAGTCTCTAACTTGAAGTGAGTGGCCTTGGCTTGCTTTCTGAACTCTGGGCAGAAGCTTGGTCATACACTTGACAAACACGACTCGACAAGAAGCTGCCACATTCCATCGGCAAGGACGGGGCACGGGTGTTGTCCTCGGCACAACGAAAATAGCTGCAGGAGCGTCTCACAACTGCTGCAGTTAAATACTTGTGCTTACAACAAGAAACATGGAATTTGTCTGTTTGTTATCATCAACACATGATTTCAAGTGCTTCAAATTCCAAAACAGATAAAAGCCTAATTGAAAACCAAAAGAAAAATTTAAAAATGAACGACAAAATCTGGTGGTTATCATGCTACGTGCAGGACAATACCAGAAGTGTCCGTGTATGGGGTTTTTCGCGAGTAGCCACTGACACGTGTTTCCTTTCTGTCTAGATGGGAACTGAGAAGAACGTGTTGATCTTCGATCTTGGCGGTGGCACCTTCGATGTGTCCATCCTGACCATCGAGGACGGAATCTTTGAGGTGAAGTCCACGGCTGGAGACACTCACTTGGGAGGAGAGGACTTTGACAACCGTATGGTGAACCACTTCGTGACGGAGTTCAAGCGTAAGCACAAGAAGGACCTGACCTCCAACAAGCGTGCAATCCGGCGTCTGCGGACGGCCTGCGAACGTGCCAAGAGGACCCTGTCGTCTAGTGCTCAGGCTAGGTGAGAAGGCTTCAAATGGTTGATTTTGTTTGCTGATGTTAAATCAACTGATTTGCCAGAACTTCTTCATGAGCCTTTTCATGTAGTTCTCAGGCAAGTTGAGAAGGCTGTAATGGTTGATTTTGTTCATAAATGTTGAATCAACTGATTTGCTAATGGAGGACTTTCTTGCAGTGCTTGCGCTATGTGAGAGGGCTTTTTTGAGTAGTTGATTTTTGTTTTTGCTGATTTTGGATCAGCTGAAAGTTTTGATTTGATTAGCCAAAAGATGACATTCATGATCCAGTGCTCAGGCCAGGAGAGGAGTAAAGAGGTTTTTTTTGGCTGACATTAGAAAAGTTTTATTTGCCAATTGATGACTCTTTGATGACTCTTTAAAGTGAAAAGGCTTCATATTTGGCCTATGTTAAATGTCTCTGCATTCTTGTACAGGAATTGTCAGCAGTTTAAATCAGTTGCTAAAATTGTCCTGTTTTTCAGCATCGAGATCTACTCCCGTTCATCGGTCCATTTTTAAGTGGTTTGATTTTGGTCCCAGCAGTCTTGTACAGGAATTGTTGAAGGTAAAATTGTATACCTTATTTTGCAGCATCGAGATCGACTCCCTGTTTGAGGGCATCGACTTCTACACCTCGATCACCCGCGCCCGTTTTGAGGAGCTGAATGCCGACCTGTTCCGCGGAACCCTGGAGCCGGTGGAGAAGTCTCTCCGTGACGCCAAGCTGGACAAGGCGCAGATCCACGAGATCGTCCTCGTCGGAGGGTCCACCAGGATCCCCAAGATCCAGAAGCTCCTGCAGGACTTCTTCAACGGCAAGGTACAGAGTTTTTTCTACAAAATTTAGCATTTCATTTTTAATGACTGTAAAGCATGTGTAGGATGTAAATTTGTGTAGAAGACAAGTGGTGCAGAAGTCCAATGTCGTTTTCATATGATGTGAAGTTTGTGTAATGTTTTATTTTGTTATTGTTGGAATCCAGGAAGATCAGTTAATGGATATCCCAATAAAGTATCAAGTATCAAGATCACTAGTATGGCAAGGGAGTGAAGCGACTGAGTGGGGGGTTGGTGCAGGAATTTGAATTTTTACAGGAGTAACAGTTTCTTGTAATGGTAGAATGCATTTTCATGACGTTTTGTTTTTATACTTTCACTGGAAAAAAGATAATTTTGAGAAAGACTTCATGTTTTGTACTAGTACAAATGTATGTAGCCACTTATGGTTCAATCTGAAAGTGTTTCCAAATTGCAGAACGGAATTTTGACTCGAATTTTGACTCATCTACAATATTTAAGAACATTGAAATAAAGTATTTCTACCACTGTTGCTAAAATAATTGAATTAATTGAATTTCAGGAGCTCTGCAAGTCCATCAACCCTGACGAGGCTGTTGCGTACGGCGCCGCTGTCCAGGCCGCCATCTTGTCCGGAGATAAGTCCGAGGAGGTGCAGGACCTGCTCCTGTTGGACGTTGCTCCGCTGTCTCTCGGTATCGAGACGGCCGGCGGTGTGATGACGCCGCTCATCAAGCGTAACACGACGGTGCCCACCAAGCAGACGCAGACCTTCACCACGTACTCGGATAACCAGCCCGGTGTGCTCATCCAGGTGTACGAGGGAGAGAGAGCCATGACCAAGGACAACGTGAGTTTACATTTTGATGTCTCTAATTACCAACATAGAATGGAATAAATGACTACATAAATCTATGTTGTCTGAAGCTTTAATATAAATTTGGGAAATTTGTCAAAATCTTTCATGATCAGATGAAAGGTTCTCTATTACATAAGTGTCCTAGCCAGCTTGATATTTTTTCTGTCATCTCAATTTTTGTTTGGTGTGATATGTAGAGCTCTCCTGAAAAAATCAGAAATCTTGACCGTCCAAAATGCTATTTGTTGTTTTTTGAGTAGATAATTTAGCTGGTAGACTAAGATTAGTTTAATGACATCTCAGATTGTCCTAAGCAAAATGACAGAAAGACAAATGTTGGCTGGAACACTGATTTTGAGTTAGGTATCTAAGTGTAGTTTTTTAAAACGTAGAACCCAACGTAGCACCCAGCACCTCCTGGCTCTGCTGTAGTGGCGTCGGGAGCTCAGCGCTTGTTCTTTAGCAGGCGCCGTGAGGCACGTTCCCCTTCCACGACGTTGGAGAGCAAGTCTGTCCCCGGCTGCCCTCGGGCGCTGGTGTGGGCAGACCCTCGCATATCCGTGCTGCTTCCCAGAGTCGCTCTGACACTGACTGGGGGGACTGACCATGCAAGGAACACCTTTTACATACAGCATCCAATGCAATTTCAAGGGAGGCAAAATGAAAAATATTCTGGATCAAGAAATCTCTTATATTGACATTTACTGCCATTTCCTAGGACATTGTCACACATTGTCATTTCATACTTAAAAGCGTTTGAAATAGCCCCAAAATTTGCAATGTGAGGTGCCTCTATTTTCTTGGTCCTGCCCATTTAAAGCTAGAACCAACCTACAACATGAAACAAGCAACTTTTCGATCAGCAACATTGCATTTTATCCAGCAACATGCTATGGAATAGGACAGATAACTACAGAAAACGAAATACAGAAAATTGACTTTGACAATCCAGTTTTGCCACCCTGAAATTGCATTGGATGCCTTGAAGATGTTTGCCAAAAGTTAAGACATGGTTCTTGTGTTAAGATAGTTCTTAGTTTTTTCTCAGAAGTTATTGACTTCCATGCTCCTGTTTTACAGAACCTCCTGGGTAAGTTTGAGCTGACCGGCATCCCGCCGGCACCCCGTGGTGTGCCTCAGATCGAGGTGACCTTTGACATCGATGCCAACGGTATCCTGAACGTTTCTGCCGTCGACAAGAGCACAGGGAAGGAGAACAAGATCACCATCACCAACGACAAGGGTAGGTCAATGTTGCAGATTGTACCAAACATCCTTTAAAAAATTGTTTTTTATTTTTGTAACAAATTTGAGATAAATAGGTTGAAAAGGGTATGTGGATATTGCATAGTGTGTATAGATTCTGAAAGTTTAGTACAATGTATTTTTTTGTAACCTTATTTAAAGGCTTTAAATTTTGAAATTTAAGACTGTCAATTGTGTTTCTTGACAATATCAGGCAATCAATGACGATGACAATTCTTTGGTAAAAGCAAGGTGATACAGAGTCCAGCCCAGATTAAAACTGTCAGCTTTGAATATTTCTAACACCTTTTCTCTTGCTTTTCTTTTCACAGGACGTCTGAGTAAGGAGGATATCGAGCGTATGGTCACAGAAGCTGAGAAGTACCGCCAGGAAGACGAGTCCCAGCGTGAGCGCATCGCCGCGAAGAACCAGCTGGAGAGCTACGCCTTCAACATGAAGAACACGGTGGAGGACGAGAAGGTCAAGGACAAGATCAGCGAGGACGACAAGAAGGCCATCACCGACAAGTGCAACGAGGTCATCAGCTGGCTGGATGCCAACCAGGTACGGCTTCAAAGTCAAGTTCATGGATAGGAGCATGTTGGCAGAACGTACTGTGCCTGTGTGAAACCTGTGATGTATTGTGTACAGCACTTTGTAGAACATCTTATTTAAGCTTATTGGCCTTTGTAAGGCTGTCATTCTGTGCATTGGATAAAATTCTGAACCAACATTTGGCAAACATACAACAGAAAGCACTATTTTATGAAGGTGCAGTAGTTCTGCCAGAGCACTAGTCAACTCCTTTTTACTGCTACTTTTCACTGTTCCGGAAAAAACTACCTACACAGCTTATTCTGAATGAAAGTTCTTTGTCCATAGCTACTTCTTGTTACTTCAGCCTTACCATCAAACTCCAGCTCTTGTGAATAAAAAAAACTTTTACTCAATCATTCGCTAACCTAATGAAATTATTTACGGACAGCACATGCTGATCTTGGACTATGTGTAACAGTATTTAAGCCGTGTTGTTCAGTCTTTCTTAACCCTGTTATGGCCTGTACTGTAAGCCAGGTTGTGAGCTTATATCTAACCCTGTGCTCTCCTCTCCCCAGATGGCAGACAAGGATGAGTTTGAGCACCAGCAGAAGGAGCTGGAGAAGGTTTGCATGCCCATCGTCACCAAGATGTACCAGGCAGCAGGCGGCGCTCCACCGGGCGCAGCTGGTTTCCCAGGTCAGTGTTAGATGTACACATCTGTAGTCTGCAATTAATGTTTAAAAGTTTTCATTCAAGCAATTACTGTTTTTGTTTACATCATATACCTGTAAATTATTTGAAGATATGTTCAAATTTATGGAAGGCAAATCAACAAAACTACCACTCTCGGGCCTGACATGGCGATTGCTTGTATATTGGGGAAGAAATACTAAGCAACCTACAATTTTGCAGACTGAAAAAATCAGGCTATGGGTTCACTGTTGTCAACAATGCACATATGTGGATATTCTGCTTCTAAACCCAGATAGTGCAGTTTCTAGGGACGAAATTCAGTGCGCCGTTGCTGCATAAACAATTCTACTAAGCTGAAGAAGTTTTTCTGTCCCAATTTTGTGAAAAATATTTGCAGGAAATATTTTCCTATGGCAGAACACTAAAAAGATGTATTTCTCCCACTGCAGGTGCAGGTGGTTTCCCCGGAGGTGCCCCAGGTGGTGATGCAGGTGCTCAGGAGGGCGGCAGCGGGCCTACCATTGAGGAGGTCGACTAAACTCTACCCCAACAACACCGAACCAAGCAACGGATTCCAAACACGCCTCTCGCAGACCCCCTTACACTAATCTCCTAGCAGATCATACAATGGCAAGGCTGTATATCCATTGGACAAGGCACTGGGACTAAATAGTCACTCCTTGGCTAAGGGTTACTGACTTGCCACTGTAGGATCTGCTTGGAGATTACAGGAGCGATTCGGCCTCTCGTAAACCCCTTATTTATCTCCAAGCAGATCCTACAGTGGCAAGGCTGTATACATGTATCCATTGGTCAAGGCACTGTTACTAGATGTTTAATCTCGAAGCAGATCATATGGTGGCAAGGCAGTATCATACATACAGTGGCTAATGGACACTCCTCTGGCCAATGGATACTGCCTTGCCACCGTATGGTCTGCTTGTAGATTATAAATGCTTAGTCCTTGGCTAATTGTTACCGACTTCCCACCATAGGATCTGCTTGGAGATAAGTTTACACACACCACGCCTAGCTGAACACTCTTTCACGGTCACTTCTTACCTTTATTTGAAAGCTTCGATATGTATATGAGAGATTAAAAGCAATTGGAGAAGTTTGAATATTCTATAGAGGTTAAGAACAGTGGACCTTTTAATTATTTGTTTAAACTGTCAACTCTTACCCGTCTTATCCAATGTTTCTGTTACTGAAAGGATTCTATAGTGTGGAAAGAAGAAAAAAAAGAATGAGGAACTGTATGTGACGAGAATAAAGACTTTCTGTAAGAACTATTGAGTTGTTTCTTAAATGTGAGAGTGAGTACGATTGCTCAGTTTGCAAGAATGTCTGTAGTTAGTGTGTAGTCAAACTTTCATCAAGTCTTAGATATAAATATAGAATACAACACGGTGTATTCCGTATCGCCCGAGGTACCAGCCCGACCGCGCGTCGGATCGCCCGAAGGCCGGAGGGAGATCCGGTCCGCGGGAGGGCTGGGACCGAGGGTGATGCGGAATACACCGTGTTGTATTTTATTTATGTCATACCCACCCAAAAAAACACGCCTTTCAATGCGAAATGAGCGAAAATTTGGTGTCCCTAAACCCAAAAAAAATGCGACAACATATTCGAATTTCGAAATCGGTGCATGCGGTTAGGCCGAAATGCGTTCGAATCGTTCCACGGAACATTTGGAAGGCCCGGGCCGTACCGCTAGTTATCACACGGGCCGGAACACCCGTATCGAACGTAATCGCGGCCCAGGTAGGACATAATAAACAGTACACATGGGGGGATGAACAGTAGTTCAAGTTGCTTGAAACCTAGGTGTAACATGAGCAAGTTACTGTGTTAAGTATGTGAACAACATGAAAAGTAAAAGCTATGAAAACAATGTTTGCCACAGGAGAAGAAATGAACATATTTAAATTGTAGTTGGCCTAGACTAGGGCTACATACTATAGTACATACTATGTATATATACTATATAGTAAAGGCTGCAGAATGCAATGTGAGAAAAAAAAGAAAGGAGGCAGTATTGGTAACGTAATGTACGTGTTCAAGAATCGGTAATATAGCCATTCAAGGTTTTAAGTGGGCTATGAAATCATAAGCAACGTTTTACCGTCGCACCCCTTAGTCAAAATGGTACAGCCCTCCCAACTTTTGACCGATGAGAACAGCCCGGTCAAAGGTCAGCACAAGTATGGCGGCGAAAAACGAGCTGGGAGTCCGTAGTGTGTTCAAAAACGGGCTTTTCGCGGGGAAAGTGGCCGTCGTCACGGGTGGAGGGACAGGGATTGGGCTAGCAATCACCAAGGAACTCCTGAGTCTAGGTAAGTTGTTGTTTTATAAAATAGAAGGGCGTGGAACTCAAAAGAACTTCAAGAACTAGTAGGTCGCCACGCCTCCCAGATACAGCCTGGTGTTACCGTGCGAACGTTCACCTTTGCCCGACTTTCTAATAATCATAAATCATCCTTAAAACATGAAACGCCGTTTGATGTTCAGTAAGAGCCTCTTCCAGGCTTCAGAAGCGGCTGAAAAGGGTAGAAATTGGCCAAATAGACAGATAACAAGCCGGAAGTTGATCCACTAAAGGAGTTACTGTTTACAAACTTTACTACTCCAGTTTGTACTCCTTTTGGTCTGCAAGAGGCCTAGTGGCAATCTGTACTGCTTTAGCGGACCAACTCCCCTGGCATGTTTTCTGCCTATATTTTGCTTGTAACGTCTACTCATTCTAGCCGCTTCTGAAGCCTATTAAAGTCAATTTAAAGCGTAGCCCAATAGAACTAGAAAGATCACACCTAACGTTAAATTCTTGGTAAAAGAACAGTTCCTGTCAAAGGAAGCTAGCTATGGCCTAAATATATATACAGCTGCTGTAAAGCTCTGTAAGTCTCTGCCACAAAACACTGCAACTCTTAGGGACAGGCACAAATTTAAGTCCTGTGTTAACCGACATCTCAACCCTATCGACAGCGTCCATTGATTGAAACAGATGCTAAGCATTAGAAAAAAAAAGTTGTTTCCTCCTGCAGGATGCAAGGTGGTGATAGCCTCCCGTAAGAAGGACCGTCTCCAGGCGGCTGCAGACGAGATGGCCGCCTGTATCCCGCCGGGGAGTTCAGCTCAGGTCAAGGCCATTCCCTGCAACATCAGGAAAGAGGATGAGGTACGAAGATTTCATAGAATAATGTTATAGGCTGATATGCTATCCATTTCAAACTCCATTGTATTATAAATGTCTTGTCTTTGTCAGCAGGCCTAGCCCTTTGTAATAGCTACAGGTTTGTTGGGCTGCCCTGGCTGTGCTTGTTGTACAGCCAAACCTGTAAATACATGTAAATGGATAAAATAAAATTTCTAATGATACATAATTCAATCCAACAACAGCACAGGGCATCTGCTACAGCACCAGTTACCACGGTGACAGACATCTGGTCCATGTCATTGACCTTATCCATTTGATTAAGTTAAACATAGAAGTATAAAATTAATACAGGTATGTCCCAAATCCTTCCAAAGTGTTGTAGTTATCTTGAATGTGAAATACGTGTACTTTTTCTCCAGGTGAAAAACCTGATGTCGTCAGTAGTGTCGGAGTTTGGACGGCTGGATTTCCTGGTGAATAATGGAGGAGGCCAGTTCCAGAGCCCTGTGTCCATGCTGAGTCTGAAGGGGTGGAACGCTGTGGTAGACACAAACCTCAACGGAACCTTCCTGTGCCTCAGAGAAGGTGATTTTACAGTTTTTAAGGCATCCAATGCCAAGTTCAGCATGGCAACACAGAAGATAAATGTACTTTGAATGTACATGTAGTCTGCCTGATATTGACATTGCAACTACCATTTTTAGTACATTTTCGTCATCACTTCATTTTTAAAGTATTTGAAATAGTCCATAAACAAGCTACGTGGGGAGTCCTTGATTTTTTGGCAACACCGATAAACAGCTAGCACCAGCCTATGATATGAAACAAGCAGCCATTTTCCATCAGTGATATCGTATTTTTGCCTCACAGATATCAGTATGCTATGGGATAGGACTGATTCAACTTTAAACATTTGAAAAATGACCAGAAAGTTTTTATTACAGGCAACTACCAATGCAATGTATTACAAGCAAATGCCCTCTATTTTGCAGCCTACAATGCCTGGATGGGAGAGAATGGAGGGGCTGTGGTCAACATCATCCTACTTACATCTAAGGGAAGGCCGGGAATAGCGTATGTTAAAGACTACACTACAGTACATGAAATGCTTCATATCTTTTGAATTCCAATCCTACTATCCACTTGTAGAAACAAATGTTGCCCAGCTAGATGTATGCAAAGGAGGCTAAGAATTGTAGCCCGGAGTCGAGCCTTGTTAGCTTTAGTCCGCTCCCCAAGATCCGCTACTCCGCCAACGCGGACCTTGGGGAGCGGACTAAAGCTAACAAGGCTGGACTCCAGGCTAAAGAACTGCTCCTAACCTGTATATGTCCTTGTTCACAGACACTCTGCAGCCGCCCGTGCTGGTATTGCCAACCTGAGCAAGAGTCTGGCTGTAGAGTGGGCTTCTAACGGGATCAGGATTAACAATGTGGCACCGGTCAGTACTGCCTCGGTTTACTAACCTCCTTTCCTAGAACTATCGCAGAGTGGAACTCGCTGTCACCAAGTACAGTAGGGGCATTGTCATTAGATAGCTTTAAACAGTGTCTAGAGTTAGATGTCCAAGGGCTAGGTGTAACAAGTCGATCGGTGTAATGTAGCCAGCTGCCGCGTGCCTGTGAAACAGGTTTGTTACGCCGAAAGGTGGTTATACCGGCTATACAGATACAAAAATGTCTTTTTTTGAGGGGAGAAGAGATTTTGCCTTGACTGATGATGAGAGGTTTCTAGGATGTTTTATCTTGTACTATCTTGATCATAACATTACACCACTTCTTTGATATTTTCTCTGATATCTTCACATAATACTGGGAAACAAAACTCCTCAGTTGTTCTAAAAAATTCACGGAATTCCAAAATGGCCTTCTTGGAAGTCTAAAATTTCTGAATTCTTGTTTTCACAGGGTTCCATCTACAATCCCACAGCAGCGGAGAACTACAAGGCTTTTGGAGATGTTTTTAGACAGGCCATCCCTTTTATACCTGCTAAAAGAAATGGCACTACAGAAGAGGTACAGTAAAGCATTTTTTCTGGGGGTTTTCTAGGAAAAAACATGTTTAAAAGGCAGTCAGCACCTTCTTACATTTTGTATCTTGATTCATGTTCCTTTGTGACTTGAAATTTTGGATTTGTAAATGGGAAACCACCCTGACATTTTAACAGTATCCTGATCTGATTTGTGCAACTAATGGATATTTATTTATTTATTTATTTCATCTCAAGACGGCTGGGTAGCCCCAATTCAGCTTGAATCAGCTGTTTTCCAAGGGGGCCCAGCAAAATTACACAGGACATAGTAACGTACAGTAAGACAACATACAGTAAACATAAAAGTCCGATTCGTCAAAACAGAGTCGTAGTCCAATACTCAAAATCCTAGCCGTTCACTTTAACAGTCCAGGCAGCAGCAGGGGACAACATATTCCAATAAAGTATCAAGTATCTGAGTCTCTTTCGACAAAGAATACAATCTCTACCGATAGCATCGCCAATTCTACCAGATAAGAGTGTCTACCCTGACATATATACATTTGTATATACATGTACGTTTTTTTTACCAGTTGTAGAAATTCATGAATGTACATTGTGAATAACTTTCCTGGTATAAAGAGAGTGCAACATTTCTAAATGGGAAACCACCCTAACATTTTAACAGTATCCTGATCAGAGTCTCTTTTGACAAAGACTGTGAATACAATCTCTACCAGTAGCATCGCCAATTCTACCAGATTGGAGCCTGAAACACAATTTTCACCAGGATGTGCATGTAGTCTACCATTGTAGAAATCCATTTCTGAATGTAGATAACTTTCCTGGTACATGTAACTACATGTTATATAGAGAGTGCAACATTTCTTTATCTACCTTTATTAGGTATCAGCAGCTGTGACGTTCCTGCTGTCCCCTGCTGCTGCCTACATCACAGGGGAGACTGTTAAAGTAGACGGAGGCTGGGACCTCTTCCAGGTGCCCTGGGAGATTCCAGGTGATCTTGTACAAGTACAATGTAGTTACCTTAACTGTTACTGTAGCTTTGTTTTTACCATGCAATATACCAGGTATATGCTGAGATTTATTCCAAGTTTGCTGGAAAATACTAACCTACAAGCAGATGTTTCAGTGGTTGCAAAATCTATGATCAAATTGGCCAGACAGTATCCGTTGGGCCAAATGGATACTGTTTGGCCAATTTGATGCTGTATTTTGCAGCCACCGAAACATCTTCTTGTAGATGGGAAATACCATGATTTCAGCTCATATAAACAACCATTCTTTAAGTCCTTTTTTGACTTGGACATGTTGTAGATGTCTTAAATGTTTCCATAGCTTTGTTTTTATTATCCAATATGCTGGTGCCTACCTATCACAGTATTATACCAGTATGTTTTACAATTTTGCCATTGCTTTTATTTTTGACACAAAAAAGTCTCAATTTCTCTCATTTTCCACTTTCAGAACATGACAAAATGCCAGCATACAAGTGGGAAGAAGAAGACAAACTCAAGGCAAAACTTTGAGAAGAAAGTTGCTTGTCTGCATCTATACATTTTATTCATACATGTTGTACAATGTACATGTACTTTATACAATATTTCATACTGCAATACTGTAACCCAATCTGTAGATACTGCAATAAATTATTCAAAAAACAAAGTTTTCATTCAAAGTCCAAGAGTTCTGATATTGTACATGTAGCATCATTTTTAAAGGACTACAAAACAACTTTCATCGTAATCTTCTTGGACAAAAATGATTCTTAAATTCTAGCTTACAAAGAGTACAAATGCTGCTAATGTTCTTAATTTCAAATTCATCCACTAGTCATTATCTAATTCTTGTATCCACGTGTCTTAATGGTAAGCAATAAGCATCATCAATGAAAGACTGTAAATGTTTTATACAATGTAGAGAAATATTTACAATAATTTTTCTCCAATACATCTCATATCAAACACTATGTACATCAGTAAATACACACATGGCTTATGAGCTACCAGCACTATACAAAATGTACATGTACTGTTATGGGAAACAACCAATCAGACCAAAAGAATCTGCTGTATTCTAGCTACTTAGTCTAGTAGTTGACACTGTATCAGAAAAAGAATGATCAAAACAAAAGAGTTTTTATTATGTAGAGAGTTATGAAATTTGACAGGTATTAGGATAAGAGCTGTACAGAATAACTGAATGAAAACTTTATAAAGGGGCATTTTAATTTTTGCCCTGAATGTCAAATTGAAAAAAAGCAATAGCACCTTGTAATCATAATATTGTGTATGACAATAAATAAATGTTGTGAAAAACAAATCACTCTTGCTCTTTCCTGGTATTTTTCCCATGTAGCGTTGTAGACCCAAGGTACTGCTAGAAGAGCTGGTTGTTGACTTGTCTCAAAACACTCAGCATGAGTTCTCGTAACGTCTGTAGTGGAACAAGTAAAACATGGTAATATTTAAGGCATCCAATGCAATTTCTGGAGGGCAAAACAAAAATATTTTGGATACGAAAATCTGTCTGATATTGACATTAATGGCCATTTCTTAGCACATTTTTGTCATCATTTCATACTTAAAAGCGTTTGAAACAGCCAAAAAAAAGCTTGGTGAAGAGTCCCTTTATTTTTTATTACTGTAACCCTTTACAGTAGCATGCATGTTGGGTGAGTGACAACAACTGGGAAACGAACTCCCAACCTCCTGGTTTTGAGGCAGTGCAGCTAACAACTTAAGATATTGACATTGATGGCCATTTCTTAGCACATTTTTGTCATCATTTCAAACTTCAAAATAGCCCCAAAACAAGCTAAGTGAGGAGTCCCAATTTCTACTCTTTCTAGCTGCTTCTGAAGCCTGGTAGAGGCTCCCAATGTGACAGAGGAAATGCCTTAAATCGATGTTTCTCCACTTGTGTCTCGTGTCTTACGTGAGACAACAGATTTCTCTTACCTGAGGTTTGCAGTGTTCCTCTAGCCAGCTGAAGACGCAGGCCGACAGCTCGGCAAAACTGGCCACGGAGATGGACTGGTTAAAGGACTGGAACTGATGGTCCATCACCGAGCGGAACACGTTAAACTTCACCTCGTCTGACACCTGGTTCTGTCCCTGAGTCGGCGTGTTCTGGTGGGCTTCAACTATCTCCTCGTAATTCCTGAAGTATCAGAATATAGATCTTATGAATCAATTGAATGACTTTAATAAAGACTTCTATTGTACACACATACCCGTTGGGTAAAGTACAGGTAGAATAGAATACAGATATTGAGATAACGTTACATGCATACATTGTCAAGTAACTTCAACTAAGTAAATTTGGTTTCTTCTGGCTTCTTAGTAATGGGTAACTTAAACTAACTTTGCTACTAGGAGTGAATGATTTGTGTACCGTAAGTGTGGAAAGATGCTAGCAAATTTACCGACACCACGCATTGATGACTTTCTCATGATCAGTAGCGTTAGAATACTAGAATTATGGACGGATTTTCCTACCCCTTCATGATTTTGAGAGCCATGACGTCCTTCCTGAGAGCATCCAGCTCATCTTCCTGTTTCTTCTTCTGCTGAACCAAGAAGCTGATGTAGTCAATGGCTGGAGCAGGGACAACAAAACTTGTCAGTACAGCACACAGGCATTTTCACTGTACACTCCTGTACACTGCATGAATACTACACTATATACATTGTTGTATTGTATACATATATCTTGTCAGTTCTTGAAACACTATTACCTGCATATGCAGGTTAGTGTAGGTAAAATTGAGGCTGTGCAGGTATTTCTGATGTCTGCACCTAACCTGCCCCAGACAAATTTTACCTGCACCATTCAGAATTTGAGAAGTATGGACCATAATACAGACTGTAGAAACTGTTCAGAAACCATTGCCATTATTTCTCAACAACACTTTTCAGTACAGCACACAGGCATTTTCAGAGTATTCTCTAGCAGCATACTACAAATTCGAAATACTTTTTTGTATGAGTTGGAATGGTACAGGTGACACTGAAAATTACTTACATGTAGTACTGGGACAAGACAAATTCTGCTTGCACCATTTAGAACTTAGGAAGTACGGATCATTATAAAAACGCAATGAACAGACCATTGCATTATTTCTCTTAGAGTTAGACTTTATAGGTGGTAACACTAACAGTCCATGCAACAAATAAAAATCCACATACATCTACAACATTTGTACATGTCATCTATAAACCCATTACATGGACCAGTGCAGGTTAGGTGCAGGTAGACAACAGAAATAACTGCACAGCTACAATATTGCCTGCACTGTGCATCTATTTCGAGCCCTGAAACATATCCACTTTCATAGCAGCAGACTATGAATCACAAGACTGTTGCTGCTTTTCACAAGTTAGCTCTGGATAAACCTGTCAGCATGAACTACAGCATGATTATATAACAAAGTCAGCCCGTATGTTGCACGATCAACAGTGACAATGTCACCCATCCTCCCCTACGCCTAATTCACTGTTAGAGAGTTGCTTCTTCAAAGAACGATGATTCAAGTCTCTAAATGACCTTCGTGGAGAACTATTGGGCAATCTGTCATCATTTTCCTGTCTTAGTTGCCGTAATCAGCTGTCAGTCACCTTCCACTGTGCTTAGTGTGTTCTCTGTTTGCTGTAAAGTTTGGTAATTCTGCCCATCCGTATCTGTTTCCTGCATGGGCATCTGTTCTGTATCTATGGTGGTTCAAGTCCTCTGTTGCTGTCTCAAAGATGTCGTTTTTCAAACATAGGTCAGTGAGTCACATTCAGTTCTTCTTCTTTCAGTGTCATACCACTGCAAAACTCAACAGCAGAGGACAAACCAAGACTTTGTCGATCCATAAATAAGTTGATGCAGACTTGTTTGCCCAAGCAACTCTTCATGGAGATCCAATGATATAGTCTCTACCAGGCTTCGAAAGCTTTCAGGGTACAAATTGGCCAAAAAAAGACAGATAACATGCTGGGGGAGTTGGTTCACTAAAGCAGTACAATCTTCCAGAGCAGTAATCTATACTCCTTTAGCAGACCAACTCCCCTGGCATGTTATCTGTCTATTTGGCCAATTTCTACTCTTTCCAGCTGCTTCCGAAGCCTGGTGGAGGCTCCCAATGAGAGACTATGACAGAGGAAATGCTTTAAATGTTTCACAACAAGAAAAATCCCCTATCTACAAAATAACCTACATCTCTGCAGCACAGTGGCCCTGCTGAGTTTGTGTAATCTGTACTCCATTTGTGGACCAACTCCCCTGGTATGTTATCTGTCTATTTCTACTCTTTTCAGACACTTCCGAAGCCTATTAGGGGCTACCAATGGGAGACAAAAGCCAAAAGACTATTTCACAACTGCTGTCAACAATTGAAATTTCCCATCTACAAATACATGTACATGTATCACCTAAATCTCTGCAGAACAGTGGCTTTGCTGAGTTTCTGTAGTCTGTACTCCTTTAGCGAACCAATTGGGAGCTTTTGGGAGCCGATAACATGCCAACTCCCCTGGCATATTATCTGTCTTTTCAGCTGCTTCCGAAGACTAGTACAGGCTACCAAAAGACTGTGACAGAGGAAACACATCCACTTGAAATGTCCTATCTACAAACTAACGTACATCTCTGCAGCACCGTGGCTTTGCTGAGTTTCTGCGAGCCGATCTGGTCCTGGGTTTGGCACGTGGGAACCATCTGCTGGAGCTCATCATACCCTTTCTGCAGTCAGGAACAATACAAAACATGTAACAATGACTACACACAGTTACACATATTGGTAGATATACAAATAACATAAATGAACTGTACTGTCTCTTCTGAGCTGGTTTTAGATACATGTACTAGTAGTTGCTATGACCACCACTTTGGTGGCCGTTTTGTACATCATGCATAGTCTGGACATTTTTCTTGTCTTCCAGTGACACCCACTGTAGGTTTCTTTTCATTTCCAAGACACTAGCACCCCTTTTGTAGTTGTCTATACAGAATTTTGCAGCTTGGTTCTGTATCCTTTCCAGAAGGCTCTTGGTTCTCTACCATTTCCCTCTCTTATTCCTATCCTTCAAAATGTTACCCCACCTTTCACCTTCCACCGACCGCTAATTTCCAATCACATTATTAAATGAATTTACAGTATGTTACCGCACCAACTTTAACATTCTGCCGACATGTTATGTTACCCCACAAACCTTTATGGCATCTCTCAAAATTCTGATGCAATGTTGATCAAACATCAAATGAAAACTGTGAAAAATCTGGGTTTTGCGTAGGCTCAGTATGTTCGGTTGACGTGTCATGTTACCCCACAAACTTATAATTCTGCTACAGTATGTGCCCCTGCCCCTAAAATGGGAAGAAAATGGTTTAAAATGTTTCCCCACCAACCTTTATGGCATCTCTCCTCTTCTGCTCCGCAGCTGTGTGCGCGTTCCGCCGCCGTTCCTTGTAACTGGAGGCGCTGTGATGTGCGTCACTATCCTCATCATCTGTAACAGCCAATCACAACACATCGATAGCACATAACCTCCTAACTCACGGCAGGGCCACTCACCTCAGGAGTTCTCAGAAACCTTGACCAGCTCTTTCCAGCCCTGGACTTTTAGTACTTTCTGAAAGGAACCTTTTGTTTCCTCTCCAGGCTCTCTTAGTTAACCCGGGTCCTCCTACTTAAGAACACATGGCTGAGACCCAAGGTGTTTAAGTTATTAGAAGATAGGATGGGAAAGCTTGCCATGTCTCCTGAACCGAAGCTCATGAAAATTTGGGCTTCGTTACAAGCACTGCTGCAAATAATTTTTAAACGTTTTTTGGTGTGAAATGATTCTAAAACATTTCCTCACTGATGTGTCAAATAATTATAAACTTATCATGTTCCCTGTGTCAAATACTTCTCAAAATAGTACAGTTTTCCTTGTCATATCTTTGTACATGTTTGAAACATTTTAAATACTAGTATTTTGTGGGAAAAAAAACCTTTTTCTGTGCATTTCTCTCACAGGAACTGGTGGTTAGGAGACATGGCAAGTTTCAGGTCAATGGTAGCTTACATGTACATACGGCCAGATCAAGGTGTTTATATCTCTGGTCTTGATGAAGGTGTGTTAGCTACTCCTATAGGATACTATGTGTTCTTTATATAACATGTAGCTATGACTGTGCCTGAGCTGAAGCCACACCAATAAACTGTTATATTGTGGTACGAATATGAAAAAATAACTTTTGTTCAAAATCAGTTAGGTTATACAAAGGGATTACAGAAATACTTTAGGGTACATATTTTCAATTTGTAAACTCCACTGAAAGATTTTCCAAGTTGTATTGTTGTTATAACAGGGTTGTGGAAGTGTGGGTTTTGGTCGTGTTTTTTTTTCAAGACTTTTTTTCACATTTTTATGACTGCAATTTCTACATGTTTATTGACGTGGCTTAGGCCAGGCTTTATTGAAGAAGGGTTAGGAGTTCAAAAATTCTCCATGAAGAATAAAAACAACAACGAATCATAAAAAGGAGTAATTGTACAATGTACACAAACAAATTTGAGTTGAGTTCTTAAACAGTGTGCTTAAAAAGACAACTTGATAGATTTTGGTTACAAAATAGAAATGGAGTATATAAAAACCAAATGAAAAGAGAACTGTAGTGAATAATGATTGCACTTCTAACCACTCTTCAAGTATGAATGGTTCTACTTGTGTTGAACATGCAACAGTGGGTAACTATTGGGTAAACAATCTAACAGTCCACCAACCCACACTCGGTGGCTACGCACAATGTGCCTCTATGCCACCAAAACTTTCTCAAATCGAAGATCGTAACGTCTAATAAAAGTGTACTTTTCTTGTTCAGGCGACATTTTCAGTACCAACTGTAGAATTTTGGGTTACGATTTGAAGTAAAAAATAGTTTTTAGTGTAGTTTAAAGTATTTTTGGAATACATCCGTTCTTATATTTTTAGAAAGTGACATTTGTAATAGACAGAGACAGAATTTAGGTTGCTGAGACTGTTCAGCAACTTTCATATTTTTAGAAAGTGACATTTGTAACAGACAGAGACAGAATTTAGGTTGTTGAGACTGTTGAGTGGGTATTTCAATTTTGTATAACAGTTAAACTTGTGAGTAATAAGACTGGTGAGTCCCGTGTCAGGACTCTGTTTGTATCTGGGGTTGGTGTCCTGTACCTGTATTGGGAACTGAGGACCCTTCCGATGCCGTCGACGCCCTACTGGAAAAACTGTTCTGTCGATACGGCCTCTGCTCGAAGTCACCTGCCTTGAAATCTGTTTCACCAAACGCAGCTGTAGGATAGACGTGTGTGCAGGCACATTTATTGAGAGGTTTCCCCACGATTGGTGGATTCATCATCAACTTCATCTTAAGTTAAACACTAGATTTATTGAACAGGGCTCGAAATACATGTACTTCAGATCTTTTCTCCAGTGCAGGTAACATTGAAAAGTACCTGCATCAGATAAGTTTTACCTGCACCATTCAGAATTTAGGATAATTTCTTTTATACTTCATTCAAAATGTAGGTGGCAACAGTCAATCATCTTCTCAAACACTACATGAGCTATCAGGACTTGAAATACTTTCTTCTGCATATGTGCACTGGTGCAGGTAACACTGAAAATTAACTGCACCGGACAAAATTTGCCTGCACCACTCAGAATTTACGAAGTATGGATCATACTAAAAACTGCTCAGAAACGATTGCCAATACTTCTTTGTAAGTTGTACCAGACAATACACAAATGGAAATTCCCATACACCTACATTTGTACATGAACCCAGTACATGGACCAGTGCAGGTTTGGTGCAGGTAGACATCAGAAAAAACCTACACAGCTTCAGTTTTACCTGTACTGATCTCCATCTATACAATGTAGGTAGTATTTCGAGCCCTGTCAGGATATATGTATAATAATTATATACATAACAGTGTTGTATAAATATTGGTGCAAAGTGTAGAGGAGGTGAGTTAAATGTTCCCCCTAATGAAGCTGAAGCCATCAGAGCAACCTTGTGCCCACAAACTGAGTTGGCAGAAGTTCCCCTTAAATCTGCTGCACTATATAAACCTGCAACAAGACTTTACAGAAAAACCGAGGGCTGGGGGAGGGGGGCATGGAATAGAGAGACAAGATTGTAAAGTGTATATATTTCAGTACAGCCCATGCACACACTTAACAGACACACTAACGTCACACACACTCACTCACCAAGAAATAAGGAGGTAAACAGGTCACTTGGCACATGTGCAACAATCTGGGCCTTTGTTATTGTTAGTATGAGCCCTGACTGAACATGTTGCAACTTCAAGTGCTAAATGACTTGCTTATCAACATGTAATGTATGCAGTAGCAACAGTAAAAAGCAAAGTGACAATAGGCAAAGGTTTTCCGTGTGCAAAATACACCACTTAAGCTTTAGTAGGAATTACTCAATCTTTTAATGGGAATTTTTGTGCAATGTAGCCTTTGTGTGAAAATAAACTATTTAGAAAATATACTTGTTCTACACTACCAATGCATTTTGCACACTGACCATAGGCTTCGAAGTACAAAAAGAAAGAAAGAAATTCCATATATATCATTTATAACAGACACAGAAGTAAGGGTCAGTAAGCTGTTATAGGTCTTTGAATTAACATTAAAAGCAGAAGGCAAGGAATACACAGAGCTTTGTTTACTGCATTTCTAACAAAATATGTATTCACATACTGCAAGTTTACATGTTTAACATGTGAACAAAGAAATGCATGAATACAAAGCTCAACAATTGTTACCAGCAAGGAAAGGAAAGGAGTTATTTAATACATAGAAATATGAGAGATGCATATGTATTAATACTGACAAAAGCGGTGCTTGAAATGTAACAAGCTCTTTATGGTGAGCAAAGCAGTGCCTAGACAATTATAAATCACAGAAATGAAACAGGAATAAAGGAAATTAGGTAAAGTGTTTCACATCGTACAACATCATTCACCCTTAACTACTATGTACAACACAAAATGCATGGAATTCAGCTGTTGAATGACAAAAGACATGTTAAACACAGGAATGACTACACACACAAGAGCGATGACACTGCTAATTCAACTGAACACAACACTTTTTGTGACAGCAACTGCGTCTACTTTCACCTAATATCACTACAGATACACAGCCACTAGCACTATGATTATGTCTAAAACTAATAATAGGCAACATAATATATGGATAAGTCTTCAAGCCTATAACATTCTTATCCTCCAAGCAGAGATTTAGGCTTTGGCTTATTTTCTTTCTTTCTTTATTGACATTGACAACAGGTCAAGATACACGTTATAATTTAAAGCGTTTTTATCAGGTTTTCTCTTTGCACTGGTATCTTTTTATGCCAGCCAAACAAATGGAGACTTGCAGCCATCAAAATCTAAAGATCTGCTCGGAGATTATGACATTCTAGTTTAACTTAAAGACACCAAGCCACAATTTTGGAGCTCCATTCTTCTAGTCATCTTTTTATTCATCACGTTCTTAATTAAGAGCTTGCAAAAAGATGCACCACATACAACATGCACATTTGTATAGTTATAGAGTTCAACTTTCAAGCTTCGTTCCAACACAACAAGTAAACTCACCATACATTTTGGTCAACCTTTGTCAGTTTACTTCTTGAGTTGGAACAAACATTCAACTCTATAACTATGGATTCTACCAACACAGATAAGCTTTCATTCGAATGCATAATATCTATAGTTACATCAAACTGAAGCAAAACTGCCAACCAGTTGTACCTGTATTTGGTACTGACTTCTTGTGTTGGAACAAAGCTTCTACTCTATAACTATACAAATATGGATTACTATAACTATAAATAACTATGGATTCTACCAACACAGATGAGCTTTCATTCGAATGCAGATTTGTAGTTACATCATATTGAAGCAAAACTACCGTACCTGTATTTGGAACTGACGACTCTGAAGTGTGAGTACTGTTGCTCCTCTGGTAGAGAAAGCCCCCGCCGGCGCCGGTAGGGCTGGGGCCAGCCGAACTGTCCATCTTCAGGTCACCATCGCTGAAAGCTGCAAAAGGCACTGTATCGGTAACATTGAGTTGACATTTGTTATAAACGTAGAATTTCAGAGAAAGAAAGGATTACCTGAATAACAGTAGAGCTGTGTTGGTAACATTGAGTTGACATTTGTTATACAAATAATGAAGTAAAAATATCATAAAAATAGCCCTACCTGAAGAAGTTATATGCAGGCAATATGTATAAACATAAATATTTATTTATGTTTAAATGTTATCAATGGATCTGAAGTATAATACAGTATGATAAGTATAGCTGATGCAAAACTGTCCACAATTTACCAAAGCCGTCCAATGCTTTGGTAAGCTTCGTCCATAATAATTTCCATGTAACTATTATCAATTTATGTAATCTAAAATAAGCCATTCCGTGTTATGTCTGGTAGGAAATAGCCAACATTCTTCTATTCATATCAATGCCTTTTCTGGATCTTCTAATACTAATAGCTAAACATGACAAGATAGAAATTACATGTATACGTCATAAACATCTGGAGTTGTTCCTCACCATAAGGTGCTTCTGCTGCCACATTGGTCAGGGTGGTGAGTGCAGTCACATGCTAGTAATGGGAGAAAAGATACAAACTATAAGAAAACTATGGTAGCTACTAGTATATCATTTGTATTTTGCATATTTTGTCATAAAATTATTTTGCAAAAATTATAAGCTCCCTCACTTCTTAAATCACAGAGTTCACAACAAATATATGATACGCCTATAAACAATAAAAAATTATAATATTAGCCTGTTAACAATAAAATATAAGTGGTGACTAGAGACCAGGGATTATGAGGTTAAACCTCTCTAGATGTGGACGAGAGATAACCAAATGTCAGCGTAATTCGCGCCATATTTTTGGTAACCTGAGACCGGCCCCCTTTTGGGACGACACCATAAAATTCACCAACTTCTTTCCTCATCAACAACTTAACCATCCCAGTTGGCAGCCTAAAAATCATCTAAGACGAACCTTAAGGTTCTTATACAGCTGTCAACTACAAGAAAAGGTCTTAAACGTCTTAATAACTTAAGAAACTGACCTGTTCTCGCAAAGTTCTCCAGACATCGTCCCGACCGTCCGCCATCTTGTCTGCAGGGTGGAGTTCCCGGATGTAGGGATGACATCATAGGTCAGAGGTCAGCCGGGGAGACGAGCGGCGGCAGCTGTCGTGGTTTGTGGGTTCGAAGCGAGATTTTTTGGGGCGATTTTTGCGGAAAAGGAGCAACTTTCGGTGAGATATTTTACATTTCCTGACTATATGACATTCTTTACTGCTCCAGTATTTTATTTGAGTGTACAGAAGCGTTATTTAAGGGAAAGAAAGCTTGTTTTCGAGCGGTAAACCGTAGCGGAAGCTAGCTAGTAGACTTGGACTCTTTGCGAGCTGGTTGAAGGTAGGGTTCACAGTGTTATGTTCTGAGGATCGATCGCCTGCTGCATGTTTACGGCCATTATGTGCCACGGCGCGGCGGCTGGGCGACACTTAGGGTACCACCTCTGCTCGACAAGCGCTGTTCAGTCAGCCGTGCGTGTCACTGTGGTTCAGGCAAGGCTGAAGTGAAACGTTATGAGGTCGGCCCGTTATAAATTCCCACGGGACGTTACGACTGTCTCACACACTTCCGGTTTAAATACCAGGTGTGTTATTCACAGGTGGTCCTTTTGTATCCAGAACCGTGCCCATCCAATTCCATAATAGGATCAGGCACGGTTCTGGATATCCAAACACCTATTTTTCCCCATGCACGGTTCTGGATATCCAAAAGCATCCAGTCATGGTTCTGGATAGGGCTGCGGACCGGTACACTGTACCGGTCCAATACCGTAAAAATCGTTTCGGTACAGGTCCAAAATACCGGATCATGAAGTAACGAGTATATACCGAAATAGCTAGTTTACACCATGTATATGACTAAAGATAGGTAAATCCTACCACAAAGACGAAAAATTAGCACTGGAAAAGACGTAAACACCGTCGATTGATTTGAGATCCTCAGTCTCACGAGACATCGCGAGAGTGTGGCTGATCCAGGGTTGTGATTGGTCAACAAACTCAAATCAGGTCAGAGGTCAGTCATTTTCCCTTCCCTCCAACACTTTATTATTGTTTCTGTGTCATGATTGAAAAAGTGAAGAACACGTGTTAATTTGTCAAATTGTTCAGGTACAGGTACAGGTCCGGACCTGTACCTAAACCTCTGTACCAGTACCTGTACCTGTACCTGATGTCACGTTTAGGTACGCAGCCCTAGTTCTGGATATCATGGACTCCTGGAGACGCATGGACTATCCAGAACCATGCCTGAACATGGTTCTGGATGAAGCACCATTCTGGAGTACGCACTACTAGTACATAGCGTGGACTATCCAGAACTGTGCCTGAAGCGTTGTGAGGTCGGAAATGTTGAGAGTTAAAAAAAGCGCTATGGCCAAGTGGGTAGAGTGCTCGCCTTGCATTCAGTAGGTCATGAGTTCGATCCCTGGCCAAGTCATACCAAAGACTTTAAAAATGGTACATACTGCTTTCTCTGCTCAGCACTCAGCATTTGAGAAAGAGTATGGGAATTAAACACACAGCACTACCAGTGGACTAACCCCCTGCTGTAGTGATTGCACAACTGTGTGGCCTAAGGGCTACAGAAATGGAGATGGGCGCTGCCATATGCACCACATGGCGCGGGAAGGACTTTTTTTAACTTCAGTCGTCCTTCAGAAAAAAAATCAATCCTTGGCAGTCACACATAGCAGCTGACACATAGCCAGGGTGGTCCCCTTGGAAATCTTGCTTGGGAACCTACATGTATAAATGCGTGCCCTGATTAGAATTCCAGTCAACACTTCCGAGCTAACCAGACCAAACAAAGATCAGATCTGGCGACTTTCCATGGGAAAACCAGCTGTAGTGTACTATATTACATGTTAGCCTCCATAGCCGGCTTTTAGAACTGGGGGTTTGGTGGTATTCGGCTGTTTTCTGATTAGCCCAGTTCTAAAAACGGGGGTAATTCAACCAGGCCGGCTATGTTGTCTATATGCAATTAGAAAATAGCACATAAAAGCTCCCAAAGACCATGAAGACCCCCCAAAACCCCCAGTTTTTGGCATGGGTTCTATATACATTGTACATGTACATGTAGTATGCTACAGTACAAAGTAAGTTGCAGGCTTGGCAGCCAAACTATTTTCTGACAGTAGACACTTCTCGGATTGATTAAAATCACATCCACACCTTTTTAAACAGCAAACAAGAGTTTCAGCCTTTCAGGACCCCATATACCTTTTTTGTATAAGTAAATACATTGAGTGTTTTTCAAAAATCACATCTAAACATGAGACACCTATTTACCTAACCACATACATGTACATGTACCAAAAATATGTCATAAAAATCCATCTGGTTACCAGACCTATTTTAGCTCCTGAGTCAATTTGCGGAGAGGATATAGACTCAGGAACTAAAATAGATCTGGTAACCAGCTGCAGGCTACTGTAGCCTAGCTGACTACTTAAGTTCTAGCACTTCTTCTACAAGTTCTAGTTCTACAGGCTCAACCAGCCCCCATAAGCCTTAGTTGTGTGACCCTGACCTCTCCACATTGATGTATTGTGTTGTTGTATTATACGTGTAAATGTTTGTCTTGTCAGCAGGGCATTTAGCCCTTAATAATAGCCGCCTGGCTAGTTGGGCTGCCCTGGCTGTACAAATTGTCTTTTTACAGCCAAACAAATAAATAAAAAATAAAATAACAGCCATATTTTGTTTAGCACATGTATGTACATGTGAGGCTCGCTGCTGAGTCATATATTTTGCAGTTATACCAGCACACAAAGATTTGAAATGCAACGTTCAAACACTCACTCAACTGCTTCCAGTCTTTCTTAATGGTGACATATACCCACCTTTTCTCTATGCGTACAACTTAGAATGTCTGAGTTTCAGCGTAAGTACCCCTACAGGATATATATGTCCATCAGTCTTGACGATCCATCCATTCCTATGTGATCAGTATGTATCATTCTAGCAGGTTGCCAACTGTTGTAGTACTGTCTAATGACTGCTCTGGGCTTCTAAAGCGTTTCGCCTAGTTTCAGGAGCACCGTGTCAGCACTTCTTGATGGTACTGTATTCCCATGCAGCAATTTCTCACAAATGCTCCCTTTGCTTACGTCTACACCGTTTAAATCTTACAGGTGTACGATGCAACTTCAGGGTGGCAAAAAAAAAATTAAAAATATTCTGGATGAGTAAATCTGTCTGATATAGATATTTACTGCCTTTTCTTAGAAAATTTTCTTGATCGTTTCTTAGCATTTGAAATAGCCCAGAAAGGTACATGAAGAGTCCCTTTATTTTTGGACACCAATAAATAGCTAGAACAAAGACAGCAACTGTGTTTTCTGTCAGCTACATTGCATTTGTATGGACAGCATTTATTCAACTTGCTACATCAAGAATGACCAGAAAATTGACTTTGAAAATTCAGCTTTACTGTCCTGAAATCTGTTACCTTTAAGGCTTAAATTAGCCTGGGTTCCATCCTGGTTAGTTTACGTCCTCTCCCACAGTGGTAGCGACTGTGGGAGCAGACGTAAACTAACCAGGATGGAACCCTGCAGGCTAGAGGTAAAAGATCTTGACTGGAGATATGTCTGTTGTCTAAACTCTGAAGATTCACGGCTTAGACTATGCCTTTTGTAGTAGTACAGTGTGACTTACTGTAAGTACACTTGTAGAAATTAAAATTAGACTACACATGTACAGAACATGGTCTTCTAGCCTCTCTAATCAGGCAACGCATCTACAGATACTAAATACTACATAAGCCCCACGATGGCTCTCCAGAGGATGTCCCACCAGTAGCCTCCATAGCAGGCTTATAGAACTGGCGGTTTGTTGGTCTTCGACTATTTTCTGATTAGCCCAGTTCTAAACAAGCTGGGGTAATTCAACCAGGCCGGCTATGTTGTCTATATGCAATCAGAAAACAGCATATAAAAGCTCCCAAAGAACATGAAGACCCCCCAAACCCCCAGTTTTTGGCTACCATGTAAATCAAAACCTTTTGTTACTGCTCCTCTTTTAAGCTTGTCTCTGATTTCTGAAATTGGAGCTAACTTCAAAATCTTAAACAAGATCTGCAACAAAGATTTTATTATTTTTCTGACACTTAGATGCCAAGAATATCCTACATATACTATCATACATTTAATATGTACAAAAACACCGCAAAATAGCACCCACAGAAAAAAATTAGGTGCACAACTTCAATTTTGGGTGTGCACATGCACTCAGTATTTCCAGCCCTGACCAGGGCCTCTCCTGTTCCCTTCTGTAGGCTGAAGACATCAGGGATGACGTTGAGCGTGAGGAATAGCAGCTGTAAGAAAAAGATCAATGGGTGTTTCCGAGCTTCCTGAGTAATAAGGGCCTCGGGAGCTGAAAATCGAAGTGCCTTTATCTATTCTTGAAGTGCAACAGAAGCTCCACGCTAGCCAGGCAGACCTTTAGCTTTTGTAGTTTAAATGCAGCTGAAACAGTTTTACTTTCAACTCTCTTGACTGGTGTGCACAGAATTCTGCACAGTTAATTCTACAACCTTGCAATTGTGATGTGGAATATGGTATCTATGGTTGAACTGAAGAGATACACAAAATTCTTTAAAATGCTCCGCCCTAGCCAGGCAAACCTTTTTCACAAATTTTCAAAAGTGGCACATGAGGTGCACACAAAACACATTTGAATATTGTTCTATGGAACCCTGTGTTTTTAACTGTTATCACACAGGCTGGAACACCTATATATAAAAAAGGAATGCTTTGTTATTAGAAAAAATTCAGAAACTTGTGATTTAAGCCGACTCAATTGTTACACTTTATCAAAGACTTCTGCTATCCCTTATTAGTTGAATAATTATGATGTAGATTTGTTAGGTTTATTCGACATTAGGTCTTGTTCAACACATTTTACTGTTTGCTACTTATGTAGTTTGCCATACATTGTACCATGTGCAATTGTCGTGCAATAAAGTTCTTCTATCAAACATTATCACAGCCCAGGTATGACATAAAAAAATAGATATGACAGGTGGCGGTGGGTCGTTGGTCACAGCCTGTCATTTGACACAGTGTGATCCCCTAATGTGACCTTCCCCCATCTAATACCTGTCTGTAGGGAAATCATGGGACGTGGGAGCTATAACATTCAGGTCCTGACCTGGCCTAACCCTGACT